TCAGTCGACGAGCGTCCGCTTTGTTGAAGAGATCACCTTTTGCGGTCTTCGTCACTGAACGGAACAATTTTACTACTGGCTCCGTTACGGCATAGTACTCTTCAATTTTAGTTTGCGGTTTTTCGCTAACACGCTCGCCCTCAGTTACCTCATCGGTATGTTCAAAATTCTTAAGCAACATGTGGGTGTAGTTGATCTAGAAAATGCAAGCTGATAAAAGACAATAATTGGTAGGTTGTACAAAGGTGATTTTCACAAAAATTTTTTTTGTTTTCTGTGACTGCCGAGAAGTCAAAACGTTATTTTCCCGTACCCACTACTATTTCTGCAAGTGGCTTTAATCTGATAGCAGAAAGTGCTACAAAAAAAAAAAATAGATTCAGTAACCTCCACAATCTTTTCCGATCCTTTTTTTTTATCGTCAATGACTACGATAGGAGTGCTTTCCAAGGAGTTGACTTCCTTGAGGAAATTAGCGAACTTCTTATATTTTGTTTTTTTCATATCTATACGTTTTCCAGGCGGGACGCAGGGCAATAAGTGCCTAAGGTAGAACTCTCCTACATCAAGCGGCAAATCGGTTTTCGTTACTCGAAATTTTAGGGCAGCCAGAAAGCATCGAAACAGCTAAAAGCTACTTCTACAGTTAGATTGCTTGAATGACAGAGAACTATAAATCACGTACTAGCTCCTCAGGTTTTTCAGCCACAGCTGAGTCACTTGAGTTCTGTACTTCAGCATCGTTTATTTCTTCATTCCGTGGCTGTTCTTCGACCACTTCCTTTTGCTGTTCATCCCATAAGGATTCGTTCGGCAAGAGATTTTTACTGGATTCTAAAGACAACTCTCCCAGGGGAGGGAAGTCGTCTTGTGTTGGAGGAGCAGAATCTTCAATTTCCACTGCTATACTAGGCGGATGTAGCCGTGGCCCAAAGTCCCTTAAAGATAATGCTCTACAACAATCAGAAACCTTTCTTTCTGTTAAATTGTTACCATAAAGAGTCTCGGTATAAGTGTAATATTTTAACTCCTCGTCCTTGCATACCGCTGGCGATCATTTCCATAGATGACATCAGAGAAATTCCAACTGCCATCGGACCTACGTCAAACTATATAGAAACGAATCGTAATCTGCTGAGGAAAAAAAATCAGGGGAATACTAAGGAATGGTTTAATAAAACGTACTGTAAGAATGCCTTTGTTTCTTTTTATAAAGTATAACAGTACTTTAACAAAAGTCAAATTCAAATTTTAGGTAAAAATTTGAAATTTTGGGTTAACCTCTAGTCAAGCCGTCTCTAGTAACTAATGAGATACTGACGGGGGAGTGTTTTTGAAATTCAGGGAAAGATCCAGGTGACCGAAGAACTCCTGAAAGCTTTTCTACCAAGCAATTTGAAAAGAACATCACCATCAAAATAAGGATAAAGTTCCTACTTGTCAAATAGTTGTGCAAACAATACTCCAAAATCCTTTGCTCTAATCATAACTTTAAGTTAAGCAATTCCTCTTTGAATACTCCCGTATTCTATGCAGCTGAAATTTATGTACCTGGCAACATTAAGTCTGCACCATTCTCGAGAAATGAGAAAACTTGTTCGGGAACGAGAAGGATAGGAAATGAATTTGTCGCGGACCACAGAAAATAAACTGAAATCCTGGACAACAATCAGTTGAAGTTTTGTAATAAAAGGCTTATATTAAAAAAAAAAATTACTGGCCTCACCTGTGGGATACAAATTACCATCTCCTAGGTCAAAGAAAAGGGGTACTTTATCAAAAATATAAACATTGGCTATGTCACCCGAAGCGCACACCAATACTGCACGAGCAGCAGTCGCCTTTGATGGAATCACTTCGGCTTCTTTCAGGCACGCCAACAGTTTTCGTCTAAACCATATTTCAGCATCAGCTTTCTAGAAACTCCCAAAGCAAATAACCAGTGGAGGAAGCAAAGCTGAAGGAGATAGATTACCTAGCAGAATTCTTCATATTGGTGTTGCTTTTTACGACAAATGGTTTGCGAAACATGTTGGAACGAATCTTACAGCTCCCAGAAAACTGCCTAAAAAACAAACACTTTGAGTAAGAAACGCTGTCACCTTATAAAACGTCGTTCATAAACGGTCAACGGCATTAAAAACGACCAAACACCTCATAAAAAAAGTAAAAAGTGACCAAACGCTATAAAAAATTTTGAAATTATTGTAAAAATAAAACCTAAATCACGGAGAAGGCCGAGATTGTATGTGGAACGATAAAGAAAACTTGCTAAGCAACTTCAGTAAAAATTTAATGCAGAGTTACAATGCGATGTTGAACTGTATAACAAGATTCTCTAAAGAGAAATGGTGCACTGTAGAATATAGAAATTTCTTTATTTTTCACCGTTATTTATGGTAAAAATAAACAGCCAGCAGGGAAAAACAAATTCAGTGTTCATTTGCAAACAATCGTTTATTCTGGAGTTTTAAAGCTTCAAAACCTACAGTAACTGTAGATGGAAGCAAATAACGCCCAAACAGTTCTAAGCAACTTTTTGCTTTGAATCCAATTAAATTTTCTAATACAGGCAAAATAGGTGGTTTGCGGGAATGTACTGAACATGGAGTGCTGTAAAATATTAATTAAAAACTATATAAACATATACTTAAAACCAAAATGTAGAGAAGAAAATCACCTAACAATAACAAAGTTGTTCACGAAATTATCCGTTAATTGGTTCAAAGACTTTTTGCAGGCAATTAAAAAACTTTCAAACGGGACCTTATGGGCAGGTAGGAATTCACACACTTTCTCGCCAAACTTGGTGACCTAAAGATCCAGATGAGGAGGAACAAAAAGCAAATTTTCACTGAATTTCTAAATCAAGGATAAAAAACCTTTAGCCAGTGCCAAACAGCAAGCTGCCTCAAACAATGACACTTTAAAAAACTGGTCACTGTCGAGCGAACATGCTCATTGTTAGTCATCCAAATAACAACAAAACCCTCATCAGCGAGTAATTCTGATAACCGCAAATCAAAGAGCTCAGAATACTCAAATGTATCATACCTATAATTAAGGTTAATAGAAGTAAAATGAATATAACTGTCTAAATAAAACTAAATGCAAAACAATAAAATAACTGCTAGCACAAGAAAATGGGGCCCTTTCCAGCACATCTACTGGTAGGATATGAATCCCAGCACAAATTGCAAAGCTACATACTCCTTTTTTCTTCTTACTGACTTATTGTCCCACGGAGGGTCAAGTACTATAAGGTCGAAATGCAAGCCACCTAGAAATGAGAAAAGAAATGTCATCTTCTCTATAAAAAACAAAGAAATTTTGAAAAAAACCTTACGAAAAATTAGATGTCTTGACAACCTAACATCGCCGAGAATAAATGAACAATTAGGTGGGACAACAAATTCTTCATTATTAAACATTAATAAAACGGAATTCTGCTTGCAGTTATTCCACAGCGTACATTCGGAGGGCACATTTGACAATACACTGTAAACCAGTTATATTTTTTATTTAATAAGGAAGTTTAGGCAGTGGAGAAAAAATTTAAAAAACATAAACCATCAAAATAAAAAATATACTTAATATCCTCGTTGAGAAAAACTTCTGTTAAGGAAGAATCCTTAGACTGCGCAATATAAAACCCCATCTTAGAAAAATCAGCATTCGCTAGCAATGCTGAAGCCTTAGCGACAGCATTTTTGAGATCCTCTTCGGTTCCATTAGGCAAAACATTTGGCAGTAAAGTACCACGACAGAAGTCCTCATAGCAACGCTCAACATGTTCACACACCTGAAGCAGGAGAATTCGTTTCTGCAAATACACTGCTTTAATTTTAATGTTGTAAACAGAAATAATTAACTTTTTCCAAGTTCTTTAACTGAAAAACTGACCTAGCAACTTTGCCACCACTCAAAATGAGCCGAAGAATTAAATGAAAGAACTTTTTTATCGTGACATGAAAAAGACCCAAAAAAGCTTAACTTCTATCACTAACTATTCGTTCAAATACGTAAGTTCGTATAATCAAATTTAGCAGAACCTTACAGGCTTCAAAAAAATTTATAAACTTTCAAGAGGAATTGATCCACAAAATGGCGTCAAAACCTACAGTTTTTGACGTCAGATGTTAGGCGAAACCAAAAAGTTATGTTGCCAAAAACTTTTGCAGTCAAAGAAAAGGAGAACAGTGATTGAACATTTATAGACAGATGCGAACATCCAAAGAATAAAATTGAGAAAATTACTTCCAACCAATTATCAGGAACATTCAGTGCTTGTTGTTTCAAGTGTTTTCTTTTCCGTCTTTTGGTGGGAGCGTCTCGTAACAAACGGTCTACTTGCGTATTCATTCGGAAAGGACTTATTATTTCATACAGACCAGGGCTTAGCTTAAACCTGCCAAAAATAAATGTACTTCCAGAAGTGGGAAAATGTGAGTGACTTGAAATGTAAAGGATAAAGCACTAGGGCAACCGCGTTGGACGCAAGAAACATGGGAAAAAGGTGAGAGCGACACCGCTACTCAATGACGAGAAAAACTTACGCTCACCTAGAAGATGAATAAACAATGTTGTAGTACGCCAACTCATCAATGACGACATATGACGAAGTCCTCCGTAAAATAAACTCTGTCTGTGTGTGATTCATTTTGCTACTCGACAACTACAGAACGCGATCCACGCATCTGTAACGGTAATGTCGTAAGACGAATTAGCTGCAGCGGACCTACCTGCAGTATGTGGAGGAGGAGCGTTTCAAATTCCACCTCGTAACTTCATAGAAGCCACAACAATAACGTTGAGGATTTAACTAGGACGCTGGATAAAAAACAACATTTACAAGCCATAACCCTTTACTCTTTACTGAAATCAAGAATCTAACAGAAACTAACAAGCAAAACCTGAAAGTTTAACTAACAATTTGAAAACGCCGACCATACAAGAAATTGACCATACTTGTATGAACCACAATAATAAAGCAAAAGTTCTAGACCTTTGAAGTTCCACTGACAACACAAAAAAATAAATGATGGCTCAATTTGAATGAAATACACAAAACCCATCAGATCTAAAAGCAAGAATCACGCTAACAAATAAACTTAAAAACGCAGAGAATAAGGCTTCCTTTCTTATAATTACACGAGAAAGACACAAGGTTAAAGTAACACCTGCTACTTGTGGTTTGCAAAAGCAACACGTAAATCTCAAAAATATTAATGTCCCAAACTATTAACATTAATAGTTGATAAACAAAACGGTATACAGCACCCTTCACGGGAAAAACTTTACCCTTCGAGATCAATACTTTTTCCGCTAACATTTGTAACTGTAGGGGGTATTAGTGTGCGCACGGCAACGTAAACAATAAAACAGAAACCACAACAACAACAACAACAACAACAACAA